GAATAGTCCTTGACCGGTATGAAGAAGAAGAAAGAATACTGGATGAATTAAGGCAAAATTTTCATTATGAGAAAGCAGGCAGCGAGCTCGCATCCATCCTTCAGTCCATCATGATCTATCTTGTTTCTCTCGAAAAGAGGATTGAGCGTAACACTGCCTCGGTTCGAGACAGTGACCAGGCTCGTGAAAGGAAAGGACAAGGTAGGATTTGAGGAGGCAACCAGGGGGGAGTCAGTAAAGAAGGAACCCCAAGAAAAATTGATGAAGGATGCCATGAAGAGAGCTACACCAGACAAAGACGAAGGTTCTAAGAAAGAACCTGAGAGACCGGCCGAGAAGAAAGAAGAAGCCACTAAGAAGAACCGGTCAAAGAAGCGGAGAAGCCAAAGAAGAAGAAGGTTAAAATGAAACTACCATTTACATATAACAACAAAAAGGAAGAAAACTTCTTGTTATGGATTGTGGAAATCTAGACTTATTGTAGCACTGCACCCGTTGAGCCTGAGAGTCAGGTCACGTTCTCCACATCTTGTCTGGGAGGCGTGGCCAAGGAATGGGTTCTGGCCGAAGCCAATGCCGTTGGGTTTGAGGATATCGATGATTGGGCTAAGACCCTTGACCTCAAGCAGTTTCTCCAAAAGATCAAGGAGAGATTTCTTGACAAGACGACGGTCGATAAGGCTTTCGACGAACTCACCACCATTGGTCAGAAACGTTGGACTTCGGTTGATGCTTTGTCGCGTGAGGTTGATCGTCTTCTGCAGGTACCTGGATTGAACCTTCAGGATAACCAGGTTCTCTATATCTACTCACGTGCACTGCCCGAGCCTATTCGTGGACAGCTTGTGGCAGAAGCTAAGTCTGGTAAGTATAACTATCGGCAATTTCGCGATCTCGCTCTCCAACAAGAGCAGATGACCGCACAAGTAAAAGGATCTTACGCTTCGGTGGTAAAGTCGGGACCGGTTGGTGATTACGACAAACGAGTCCTTTGGCGGCAAAAGCGCCCAGACCACATGTTAGTTGTTTTCTATGCTGATACGGTGGAGAAGTTACCTCTTGATGAGTCTGAGGGAGGAGGAGGTAATGGCGGCAGTGAATCTGAGAAGGGTGATGTCACTGCTGTGATGGCCAACAAGGGAGGCCAGAACCAATGGAAGAAGAAGAGAAGGCCACGCTCGTTCCCCGAGCATCCCGGCATCTCGTTCGGGAGACCTTGGGAGAAAATGAACATGACTCGTGAGGAATGGCAGTCTAAGATGGACAACCGCCAGTGCCTCAAGTGCGGCATCGTGGGGCACGTGATAGTCCGGTGCCCACTTATTCGTAACCCAAAAGTGAGCAGCCAGTAGGAGTAGCATCTGCTCCTACTGAGTTGAAGGGATTAGACGAAGATAAAGGAAAGGCGCTTGTAACCCCTTCTATCCCTTCGACTCTTAAGGCAGAGGATGGCTCTTCTTCCGCCCGTCGTCCAGACCACCCTGACACTGTTTTTCACTCTGTCTCACTAGACGATTCCCTTGACGAACTCGACAATGAACTAATAGCACTTCGAAGTTCATGGGCGAAGAAAACTAAGTCTAAGGGTGAACCAATGATCGCAGATATTGAGATTGCGCACACGCGAGTAGGTGCCCTGTTAGATCCAGGATCGACGCGGTCATACATCTCATAAAAAGGCAATTTGAAAATTGCATCTGGGAATGAAGGTAAAAAACTTACCTAGACCTATCACGTCTATATTGGCTGATAAGAGCACGATCACTGTCTATCAATACGTCGATCGTGTTAAGTGTTATTTCAGGACCAAGGAAGGTAAGAAGATTCTACACGAGATATCATTCCTTATAAAGAAGAATTTACCCTTTAACATGATTCTGGGAATGGATTGGCATGAAGAAGCCGACCCAGAGGTCAAGTTCAAG